TTCCGACAAATGCTTATCAGCTATTCTACACATGCATTCTCCCAAATTTAGGATCATTTCGTCAAGTTCCAAAATGTACCGTGGAGTTTTACAGAAATTGCATTGAATCTATAGGTTTCCATGGGGGACAAATGACGTCTTCACAAAACCGAGGTTGGCTATCCATGGTGTTTCTTCCTTTATGCAGGTTTTCTTTTCTGGCCAGCAGCAAACATTTCTAATTCTCTTCATATACTTCCTGTTCACTTTATTCCTAGGTACTTTAAGCTTCTGTTGCCAGTGTAAGTTAAAAATACTTTTTTCTTGTAACATTTTCTAACTGCTGTTTACTGCTAATAGAGAAGAGCTTTTCTATGGATTCAGTAGAAGATTTCCAAAAATAAAACTAATGTAGTATCTCCCTGCTTAGAAATCCTTTAGTGTCTCCAGATCGCCCAGGATAAAATTTAACCCCTTTTTATGGCCCACAGCCTTTCCCCACCTTGACCCTCTATCAGCCTTCCAGAATTCTCCAACATAGACTCTATTTTCCAGGCCAACACTTTCTTAAGGTACCTTGATTAGGCCATCCATTTCCACACCTTTGCATATGCTGTTCTCCCCGCTTGGAATTCCCTTCCCCATCTCCCTCCCTCCCTCCCTCCACTCCACCTTCTTTCTAGCTTTTTCTTCAAACTTAGCTCAACTGTCACTCCCCTTGGGAAGCCTGCCCTGATCTCCTATCCCGGACACGCTAAGGGACCCCTTGTCTATGCTCTCCCAGAAGCCTTCTGCTTATTATTTTTTGTAGCTCTAGCCCCACTAAAATTTTCTTCCTGAAAGTAACATGTGCTCGTTCATTTTGAAAGGAGTGTAGCAAAGACCCAAGAAAGAGAAATCACAGTAATTCCATCAGCAACTTCTTTTTTTAGTAGAGCTCCTTCCCTTTTTAAGGTTGGGGAGTTCAGTTTCCAGTCTCACGTCTCTGAGCACCCCGAAAGGGGTCTTGGATAGGTCTCCCACTTGTGTTGAAAGAACCCGGTTAAGAACAGTGAACCTCGAAGCCAGCGGACTGGGAATCTGGAAGACAGGAGCCCCGGCCTAACTCCATTTCTGCCATCCCTGAATCCACACCTACTCGTGCCTGGGACACAGCTGCAAGCCACACCCAGTAGCTCTGCGCTTCCAGGGTTCCTTGCACTTGTCACGCAGGTCATTCACCGGCTTCTCTCCAAGGGTAACCCCAGGAGATGTCTCCTGTAAGTGGGGCCCATAAAAGAGGCCATCTCAAAATGGCCTCATGGCTTCGTCTCCAGATCCAAGTGGCTTCTCCTGTCTTTTCTTTAGAAAAGAAAATCGTCCTCTGGATTTTCCCGGAAGCCCAGGCGGCCCATCCCGCCAGGACTCCCTCAGGGAAGGCCCTGTCCATGCCTCTCGGGAAACAGCCCGCCCAGCCTTTGTTGTAGAAGCAGCAGGAGGAGCCATATTTGCTTTCGGCAAAAGGCGGACGGGGTCGGAAGGGCGGGGGACAACCAGGGACGGGCCGAGGCCTGCATTTTGCTCCTTGCTAGACCTTGAGGAAGAGAAAGCCAGCCTCATCCCAGCCACATCTCTGACTCACACGGCCTCCTAGGGCCTAAGTTTCCAGTTTCCCAATTTGCATAACGAGGAAGTCGCCTCGAGTGTGGTTAACTGCTGCCCTACCGCTCGGATTTTTAACGTGCCCTTGGCCAAGAGCCTCGGGGAGCCCGCCCAGGGCCTCAGGAATCGCCCCGGGAGCCAGGGGCGCTTTCTGTCGGCTCCGGGACCCGGGACGCCCTGGGCCCCGGATTCCGAGCTGGGCATCCTGCCCTTCCGCACGTCTTCCCCACAATTGCACCAAAGGCGCGGCCCAGCGCAAGGACGCCTCCGGCCCCACGCGCGGCGGGACACGCGCGGCCTCCCCCGGCGGCACCGCCCTCCCCCAGGGCCCCAGGGGCGGGGCCGCGCGCCCACCGGAAGAGGCGGGGCCCGTCCCGGCGGGCGGGCGGCTTGATTGGCCCGAGCGGGCCTGACGCCCGATCCCGCTATAAGTGCGGGGCCGCGGCCATCTGCGCCACAGTCTGCCGAGAGTCGCCGCGGTTTCCTGCTTCAACAGTGCTTGGACGGAACCCGGCGCTCGACCACCCCCCTCCGGCCGGCCGTCCAGAGCCAGCCCTCCGCCATCTCCTCACAGCGCCCTCGGACCGCCCCAAGGCTCCCGCCGCCGCTCCAGCGCCGCCACCGCCCGCCGCCGCCGCCTCTCCTCAGCCGCCGCCATGACGACCGCGTCCCCCTCGCAGGTGCGCCAGAACTACCACCAGGACTCGGAGGCCGCCATCAACCGCCAGATCAACCTGGAGCTCTACGCCTCCTACGTCTACCTGTCCATGGTGAGCGCGGGCGCGGCTTCTCCGGGCCGCGGGCGGCGGGGCGGGGCGGGGCGGGGCGGGGCGGGGGTGTGGCTAACGGGCGGCCTCTCCCGCCTCCGCGCGCGCCCTGCAAGAAAATGGACGTTGCTCGAGGTCTCCCGGGACTTGCGCAGACATTCTGGCGAGTTCGCCCTTTCCGAGGGTCCCCTGGCAGGGCCGCCTCTGCGCACCCCCTCTATATTTAAAGAGAGCCTGGTTTGCTGAAACCCTGGAGTCGGCCACGGTTGCGACCAGTACGATCCTGCAGCGAGGAAGGTGGTTTTGGCCTTTCCATCCCTTCCCCTGCGTCGATCACGTGATCCTGAGGTCGTCCTTTGGCTAGGGTAACAGGCGAAGTGGTCCAGCCCCCATCCTCTCCCCACCCCCACCGCCCCCCCCCTTTCGGGTATGGCGGAGCCTGCTGGGTAATGGTGTCGGATAGCAACGGCCGGGAGGGGCGGGGGTGGTCTGGTGCTAAGTGGCTTATCTCCTGTAGGCTGACCACTCTCGAACAGCCGTCGCCACCCCTCTGTTGTGCTTATCTCTGGGTCCCACTTGAATCGAAGCGCGGAAATCTCCCCTTGCGAGGACACAGTTGTCTTAGTCATCCGTCCTTTTGCCTGGATACTTAATTCCTTATCTTTTTGGTGCCTGAGAGTGGTGGCCCTCTAACTGAACCCGTGGTTTTCGGATAAAGTACTCCACCAGTAACTGGGCAAAGAATTTTCCCATGCGCCAATCAGTGGGCTCCGTTTTCCAAAATCCTGGTTTTGAGGCGAGGTGGTGGGAGTTTTACTTAGAATTGTCTTATGATTGTGCAAATTATCCAAGAATAGACATGTTCCAGATGCATTTGAAAACAGGCCTGGATTTCCATGACTGCCGTTCCATTTGAGGAATACCTGAATACAGGAAGTGTCTAAAACTGCATCAGGTTTTTTTTGTTTTTGTTTTGTTTTCTGCCGGCAACGTATTTGTATTCAGGGTTTTTGTTTTGCCTATTATTTTTTTAATTTTTTTTATTTTTGTTTGCTTTCTGCTGGCAATGTATTTGTATACATTAGCATTGCCCACAGCTCACCATCCCTAATGGGTTAATTTTAGAAATTTGTTAAATTTAGAAATTTTACAGGCTGCTGTAAGCTGGCAAGTTCATGTTCTGACAGGGGTTAACCAGGGAGTAGAGAGAGAAGGCACTATTTGTACAGGGTAAATACTCCCACACCCTCTCCAATCATATTGGACGTTGGGCGGAAGAACTTTGCACTAATACAGAGCCTTAAGAAATTCCATGCTGGGGGCAATTCCATGATATTCTAAAGGCTCCTTGTAGTAAACTTTGAATTTCAAGGACCAAAATAAAGACAATAATTACTGTTGTGTTCATTCCAGGAACGCAACCTGCCCCCAGTCTCCTTCAGCACAGATCCCTTTCTTGATGCGCTTTGAGAAAGACAGACTTAGGCCAGCAGAGTGCCTTTCTTGGGACTCCTTAGCCTAACGTTGATGTTCCCCTTTCAGTCTTACTATTTTGACCGTGATGATGTGGCTTTGAAGAACTTTGCCAAATATTTTCTTCACCAATCTCATGAGGAGAGGGAACATGCTGAGAAGCTGATGAAGCTGCAGAACCAGCGAGGTGGCCGAATCTTCCTTCAGGATATCAAGGTGAACGAAAGATCCTAGAGGTGCCGTGCCTCCTAAGTAAGCTAGCAGTTGCCCTGGTAAAACGAGGCAACTTCGGGATTTTGTGCTTTTTTTAGGCTGAACCATCTAGGCTAAAGGCAGCAAAGAGTAGTGGGCGAGGGTGTTAAGTTGGAAGCTGTTGCAGGAGAAACTTGGATGCCCCTTGTGAAGCGCACGTTTGAGGTGCTTGCTGACTTGTGGGCTGGTAGAGGCTGCAGGTGCGTTGACCTGACCTCCTCTCGTTCAGAAACCAGACCGTGACGATTGGGAGAACGGGCTGAATGCGATGGAGTGTGCGTTACACTTGGAAAAGAGTGTGAATCAGTCACTACTGGAACTGCACAAACTGGCCACTGACAAAAACGACCCCCATGTGAGTACTGACAACCGGGGAGCCCATGGAGGGAACCGTTTGCCTCTCCTGGGAAAGCTTACCAATAACGTTCTTCCCCATTTCTGTTTTCTAGTTGTGTGACTTCATTGAGACGCATTATCTGAATGAGCAGGTGAAGTCCATCAAAGAACTGGGTGACCACGTAACCAACCTGCGCAAGATGGGGGCTCCCGAATCTGGCATGGCAGAGTATCTCTTTGACAAGCACACCTTGGGAAACAGTGATAATGAGAGCTAAGCCTTAGGCTGTCTTCCCATCGCCACACGGGTGACTTCCCTGGTCACCGAGGCAGTGCATGCGTGTTGGGGTTACCTTTCCCTTTTCTAGAAGTTGTACCAAAACATCTACTTAACTTCTTTCATTTGTACCATTCCTTCAAATAAAGTAATTTGGTACCCAGCTGTTGTCTTTTGAGTAGTTGAGATGGGCTAGAATTGCATCTAGGTCCTCTGTGCAAAATCTGTGAGTGCTGCAGTTCAACCACGGTAACCAAATGAAATGCCTAGGAGGATTTGTATTTACTAAACTCTTTAGTTTGGGAAAGATGTCAAGGTTGGGGGTGTGGAATTCGGACAGGACGTAAGGACTCCGGATGCCGAACTTGATGTTTTGAATTACATGTTTCCGGTGATTGGGTCTAGCTTTCACAATTTTTATGTACAAAAGGCACTTAAAGGCTTAAGTAGTCCTGAAACTACGGATTCTGTTACCCATTAAGCTAACCATTTAGTTCAGGCTGTCATACGAACGTATGCTTCAGTGTGGACAGCTATATGGCTATGACTGGATCAGTGTCCCGCTGGTGTACATGCAGGTAGGACCAGGCCGGTGAAGTGTCCCTTTCGGGGAAACAGGCTAAGAGTGTGCTTCATCCCTAGAGAAAATTGGAGAAAGTCAACGTGAGTACGGAAGATCTCCACTTCAGTGTTAAAACTAGTTGCGTAGTGTGGCAAAGGTTGGGACATCTGAACTACACAACATCAGTGAGTAGGGTCAGGAGACCACAGAACCATCTCCTTGCTAACAACTACATTAATGTCCGTTCCCAAACAAGCCACGGTGATTCGTAAGTTTCTGTCTGGCTAGAAACAAAACCGATGGTAGCCCTTTTCAGGCTTTTAATCACAAAGTGTGTATTCTGACCCAGAAGTTAACTGCTTGAGAATCTAGAAATAGGAAGTTACGCTTCCCACATCATGAATGGGGGTGGGGTAAGGTGGGTCTAATGGGTGAAATCCTGAATGTAGGGAAACACCTGCTGGGGTTTTGACAGCTTTGGATGGACCCCTGAGGCAGCATGAAGAGCACATAGAAGTTCAGAAGTCCTGATGAGTTCCCCAAAGCAGTAAGATACCCCAAGGGACCTGGCCACCCTCACCTTGACCATCTACCAGTTCCCAGGGGTGTAATACTTTCCAGGATCACTGGAGGGTTGTGGGGGAGTGTTCATATGCGGTCACCCAGCTGAGGCTGGGTAGTGAGTGGAGTTCCTAGGTTACCGCCTAGAGTCCCTAGCTCTGCCTCATGGTTTTGGGTCTGCTCCTCCAAAAGTGAGCTCCAGGGATAACATGCCCACCTAAGCCTGGCCTGGTGGGACTCTTCCTGGTGGTATCAGCCTCTTGGGTGAAATAAGCAAAAGCCCTCAGCACTTAACTAGGGCCCTTGCTGAGGTGGCCAGGTGTGTGCCCCAAGGCAATGCAAGGTGTGAGTCCAGCATGCTCTGGTAGTGAGGGAACCGTAGGAAAAATGGTGGAAGAAAGGGTAGGCTCACAGCAAGGGAAGCTGGTGGGGCTTCCCCCATGTGGGTGGGAGTGTGGGGAGGGGAGGAGGTGAAGTGACCTGGTTAAGGTAGAGAACAGACCTGTCTTCCAAGGCCCAGTAGGGATCTCCGTGACTTCTGAGTATTATCTCTATGTTGTTTGACTGGTCCAAATGTGATTCTCTGAGATGTTCCGAGGTCTCCGACATGTCGGTCAGGTTAAACTCAACGGTTTTCTTCTTCATGTGACCCAATTGTGGGTTCTCCGTCGAGGACCCGACGCCATCTGAGAGCAGTTCAAAACTCTTCTCTCTGTCAGGAGTCACAGGCTGTAGGCTTTGGTCTTTGACAGCGCTGTCTGTGCCTGAGACTCTGCGAAGGCCTGAGGGTGCTGACTTTCCAGGTGGGAAGACCATAGGGGTGTGGCTGAGGGGCGTCTGGGGGGCACTGTGGTAGCCTGACCTCCCGTACAGTGCAGCAGTCTGGAAAGCATCATCCTCCTCCTCAATCTTCCAAGGCTTGCCGCCTTCCTGGTTCCTAGGGTGCTGTCTGGCACTCCCGAGTTTCTTGGGCTGGCCCTCTTGGAGAAGGCCTTCTTTCTTGGGTCGCAGTAGTTTGGTCTTTGAGTTTGTCCTGGGGGGATGGTGGTCGTGGGACTGTAGCCCTAGGAAGCGGCCAATGATGCCAGTTTGAGGGTCCTCCTCCTCTTCTGGATTTGCCTGAAACCCCATGTCTTCCTTATGCAGACTGTAAAGGAGACTCGGTTGAGCAGCGGACAAGGACCAAAGCCTGACTTGACTTCTCCTTCACCTCCTCTTTTCCCTCTCTATGGCCCAAAGCCAAAGACACACAGTGTTTCTCACTATGCCTGGACTCACCTCTCTCCCGACCCATCCTCTACTGCCCTGTGAATTCTTCCAGGCCCGGCTCCCCTCACTGTTGTGTGCCTCCCTCTTGCCCGTGTTGACTAACCCCTCCTTCCCCCCCCCCCCCCCCCCCCCCGCCCCAGCCTGGCACTTAAGGGCTCTGTCTTCATCTCCATCTTCTCGTGAGCATCCCTCACTCCAGGCAAGCAGAATACTGCTCCCCAGGTCTGGTCAGTCACATGAGGCCCAGGAGTGACTCTGGGCAGGCTGGGGGTTTGCGGTTGTAACTGCGGAGCAGCACATCCACAAAGTCTGGCTTTCTGGAAGCCCAAGGCCTTTGCTCTGCAGGAAAGAGCCCGCCTATCCCAGAGTGTGGCCTGCCCTCGCTCGTGTCCACATTCTCCCCACGCTTCAAGGCCCAGCTCCGGGTCCGGCTGGAGGCCACCTCCCAGGCCAAAGGCGGTCTCTTGTTCTATGTTCCGTCTCCCCCAGGCACCTGGTACTTTGTACCTTGTATCCAGAGTTGGGGCCTTGGGTTTGAGTCCCCTCACTGAATTGTGTGTTCCTTGCAGACAAGGTCTATGTATTACTATTCTCTGTCCTCCACCCAACCTTCAGCTGCCACATGGAATTCAAATACACCACATGGAATTCAAAAGCAACTTCCAGAAATGTTTCTGACCCGAGCAAGCCTCCAGCCTTCATGTGATCACTTTTTCAAACCTTCCTCACACCTACTAGAGACTCTAGCTAATTCTAATTATGGCTTAAGAGGATATTTGGTTTTTATTTTTATGTTATTAATTAATTAATTTATTTATTTATTAACATTTATTTTTGAGAGAGCACGAACAGGGGAGGGGCAGAGAGAGAGAGGGAGACACAGAATCCGAAGCAGGCTCCAAGGCTCTGAGCTGTCAGCACAGAGCCCGACGCGGGGCTCAAACTCGCAAACCGCGAGATCATGACCTGAACTGAAGTCAGATGCTTGACTGACTGAGCCACCCAGACGCCCCAGATATCTGGTTTTTACAATTTTTTTTTTAACGTTTATTTATTTTTGAGACAGAGAGAGACAGAGCATGAACGGGGGAGGGTCAGAGAAAGGGAGACACGGAATCTGAAACAGGCTCCAGGCTCTGAGCGGTCAGCACAGAGCCCGACGCGGGGCTCGAACTCACGCAGTGTGAGATCGTGACCTGAGCTGAAGTTGGCCGCTTAACCGACTGAGCCACCCAAGCGCCCCCGGTTTTTAAAAGACAATAGTGCTGGGGCACCTGGGTGGCTCAGCTGGTTGAGCACCCGACTTCATCTCAGGTCATGATCTCATGGTTTGTGAGTTTGAGCCCCGCATCGGGGGCCCACCATCTGTGCAGAGCCTGCTTGGGATTCTCTCTCTCTCTCTCTCTGCCCCTGTCTCGCTTGTGCTTACTCTTTCTCTCTCTCTCAAAAATAAATAAACTTTAAAAAGCCTCTCGAAGAAAAAAAAAGACAACAATGCTTAATACTGTGGAAGAAAATCTTGATGGTATGGATCCTGACATGCAGATGACTCTAGAAAGTCCTCCCCACTCTCATACTGGGGAGAGAGGGCTGTCTGGGATGGCCCTTCAGCCCACTGTAACCCTGCTGCAGCTCAGAAGGGATTCGGACCGAATCAGGGAAACAGGACCCATGTGCAGGGAAGTCTGGCTGGCTGCGGTGGGTGACCTGAGGCCCGTGCTCTGTAGCACGGAGCCTACCCAGAAGTTACCTGTGATGACCCAGCGTCTTGCTGGGGACATGCTTGCCGTCCTTCCCCCTCACTTCCTCCGCCTCCCCGCTTTCCCTCCCCGTCCAAACACCCTGGCTTATCAGGAAACGGAGTTCCGGACCAGAGCTGGGAACCAGGCTCTGGCAATCCCAACTGCATCACTGACCACTGACTGCCCTTGAGTAAGTGCCTTCTTTTCTCAGGATCTGTTTCCAGCTCTGGACGTGGGGGGCTTAGACTGGCTGTACCTACAATCCCTTCCAGCTTTAGGAATCACTAAACAGTACAAGGTAAGGATGTGGAGATAGAAGCAGACACACCTGGTCCACGTGTATCACTTGCTAACTATGTGACCTTGGGCTGGACAACCCACTTAACCTCTCTGAACTTGGACTTAATCACCTGCAAACTGGAGGTACCAAACCATTGGGAGGAAAAAGAGAGTTTATCCAAAGAGCTTAGCAGAGTTCCCAGCACTTAGCACACATCCGATATGTATTAACCAGCGCTATTCTAAGTTTTCAGGCAGGCCCTTGCACTTGGGCTTTTCGACTCACCAAAGTGGTCCCGGGCACTGCTCACCTGATGTTGAAGGTAGAGCCTAAAAAGGAGGGTCGACGATACTGGGCAGAAGCAGCTGTATAGGGGGGTTGTGGTTCTGGATCATTCCAGTACATATCCCGCTCCATTGGGGGCAGGTCCTGGTGCATCTCGTCCACAGCCAACAGGGACACCTGGTTGCCAGGCACAGAAGGAAAATCCAGCAGAAAGGTCAGCCCAAGCAGGACCTTGAATTTGCTAGATGACTTGGAGAGGTCACTTCCCTCTCTCTGGGCCTCAGTTTCCCTACTTGTGAAATGGAGAGACTGATGCCCATCTTCAGCCTCGGAAGTTGGGGTGAGAATCCTGTGAATGAATGGTTGGCTGGGAGGGGGCAGTTCACGGTGAGGCCTTCCTGCAGACCTGTGGGGTCCCCTCCCTGGCCCTTTCAGGGAAGGACCACAGGATAGGCGCCCCCTCTCCCCAAATACCTGCAGGCTCCTGTCGACAATCCAGTTGGTCTCAAAGTCATCATCATCCTCTCCAAACGGGTTGATGAGCTGCTCTGCCACCTTGGGGAGAGGTGAGGCTCTGGAAATCCTCAGGTAGATTCCCTGCAGCCTGCTCCCTGGCCTTAAACTTTCAGTTCCTTCTAGTTCCACGCCCCCCTCGATGCCTGGCCTCCCTAACCACCATCTCCAGAGCCAGTATGTCCTTCCCTTTAGGGAAGCTCTTCAGGGAAGAGCTGTCCTTCATTGTGTCACTCAGTACCAGTCATCACTGGTACCTCCCAAACCTATATGCTCCCCGGAGTTCCAGAAATCTGTGCGTTCGTTCATTTACTCATTCCAGTCTTCAAACACTCATTTATTCATTATTTTCAATGCAACAGAGACGTTGAGGCTGTGATCAAATAAAGGGTGGCCCAGGCAGGATGAATCCTGGCACTAACCTGTGAAGTCCCCTGACAAAGCCCTGCAGTAGGGGTGAGCTGCACTAAGGGTTCAAGGGACATCCCGTAAGCCGCTGGGGAATTTCAACCAGAAAAATGGGTGTGATCTGGTTTAAAGCGAAGATGACTGAGGGGCTGAGGGTGTGGATGGGGAAGGAATAGCTGTGTGTGTGTGTGTGTGTGTGTGTGTGTGTGTGTGTGCGCGTGCGCGCGCGCAAACCATGCACAGGAGGGAGGGAGGAGGCAACGTGCCATCACCACCGCTACCAAAAAATAAAGGAAAAAAGGAAGAGACAGAGGGTGGGTGAGAAATGGAGGAAAGATCTGGGGTGCCTGGGTGGCTCAGTCGGTTGAGTGTCTGACTCAGGTCATGATCTCGTGGTCCGTGGGTTCAAGCCCTGCGTTGGGCTCTGTGCTGACAGCTCGGAGTCTGGAGCCTGCTTTGCGTTCTGTGCCCCTGCCTCTCTCTGCCCCTCCCCCACTCATGCTCTGTCTTGCTCTGTCTCTCAAAAATAAATGTTAAAAATTAAAAGAAAAAAAAAAAGAAACGGAGGAAAGATAAAGAGATGGAGAGGAAATGGTGCTGTTCAGAACTCCTGTTAGGGACAGCTCCGGATGTAGTGGGAGGAAAACCTGGAAAAGCCACTTGGGGTGGGGATGAGACACCTTCCCCCATCCCGCCCTGGATAGATTTCTTGAGTAAGGAGAGGTGGTGCTAATCTGCCTTGAAAGGATGGGGGCTAGGGTAGTTAACATCAGGGCTTTTGCTTTACTAAGCAGAGGGGACAAATTTGGGACCAGAGCCTCATCACTGGGGACGGTGAGGAGTTGCCTCGCCAGTGGGGTCAGCTACTGCCATCTTAGTCCATACATTTCCCTTGTTCCGGACAGATGTTTGGAGAACGTTCTCTTGAGGGGACATCTAATGGTTTGACAACTGAGCTTTCCCTGTCTCTTTCCTGCCGGCTACGCCCTAGGCCTCGGGTGAAGCGCTGAGATCAGACACAGGCCTCTGGCGGGTCCTGCTTTTCTCTGGGTCTCAGTTTCTTCCTATGTTAAGACACGGGGAAGGAGGAGACCAGAGGGTGGTGGGCGGGGCCCAGCAGCCCACTTTCCACATTTGAGACTCTCCTTTCCTGGCTGAGCATGGACCTCCTGGCCGTGACCTCACCCGGTCTTGTGAGGCAGAGAATCTCACCTTCAGCCAGCCAGCATAGAAAAAGAACTGTAGGAACGTGAAAACGGGCACAACGAGGTCCAGCTCGTGGCCAGGATAGGCCTTGGCCGGGTTCAGAAACTGCCGCCCGATCAAGCAAGCCAGGAAGAAGCTGTAAACCGCCACGGTCACCACCTGGGAGGAAAGGGAGGTGGCAGCAGAAATGAGCTGGGGGAGGCCCTGAAGTCAGGAAGCTCCCTAGGCTGGGAGAACGAGACCTTGCTCTGACTTGTGCAGTCCAGTGACTCTGGGTCTCTGTGATCTCTAAAACGGGGATGACAAACTGAGGGTCCACGGGGGGTGGGAGGGAGGGGGGTGGGTGATGGGTACTGAGGAGGGCACCTGTTGGGATGAGTGCTGGGCGTTGTATGGAAACCAATCTGACAATAAATTTCGTATTAAAAAAATAGGGGCGCCTGGGTGGTGCAGTCGGTTAAGCGTCCGACTTCAGCCAGGTCACGATCTTGCGGTCCGTTGAGTTCGAGCCCCGCGTCAGGCTCTGGGCTGATGGCTCAGAGCCTGGAGCCTGTTTCCGATTCTGTGTCTCCCTCTCTCTCTGACCCTCCCCCGTTCATGCTCTGTCTCTCCCTGTCCCAAAAATAAATAAACGTTGAAAAAAAAATTAAAAAAAAATTTCGTATTAAAAAAATAGATAAATAAAAAAATAAAAAATAAAATAAAATAGGGATGATCACACTGCCTCTGCTGGGCTGAACCAGGCAGGAGCCCGGACTCTTCCAACTTGGCACTGGAGAGGACCCGCAAAGTCCAGATCTAACTCCCAGGGGAGCCTCTTAGCCCCTAAGTGAGCCCTTCCTATGACAGGCTGTTTCTCCAAGTCCTACCAGCACCCCCCACCTTGTTTCCCAAATGGGCAGTTTCCCTGGCCTAGTCCTCACCTGTGTGTACACCAGTGGGATACTGATCCAGTCATAGGCAAACAGGAGTCCACACTGAGTACGCAAGACGTTCATCTCCTGGGGAGCAGGAGGGAGGGTTGGGGTTCTGACCACCGTGTGCTCTCCCAAGCTCAAGCCCTCACGGTCCAGCCCTGGCTGTGTGGTCATGGGCAGCTCCCTTAACCTCTCTGTGCCTCAGCCTCCTCATCTATCAGAAAGGAACCAGGATCTCCAGGGCTCACTCTGGAGAGGAAGTGGGAAGGGAACTGGGGGCCAGGGGCCACGGTGGGTTGTGGAATGCTGTTGGACAAAATCCTACAATCTCAAGGCAGGTTCTGGGAAGACCCTCAAGCCTCCTCTTTGTATGAAACTTTGTGCAACCTCGGGCACAACCGTCCCCACTCTGCAACAGCCCCATCTGTGTCGGGAAGCTCACGTTCAACAGGCTCTGGAGCAGGACAGGGTCCCGGATTCGACCTCCGATCCACGCCTTCATTGACAGGTTGGCAAACCACACCCAGGGCACCCAGAACGTGTTGTGCGGCAAGCTCAGCTTTTCTAAGTGCTTGCGTTCCGCGGGGGTCATAAAGCCTGCGGGGTGGAGTTAAGAAGGCAGCGGGTGGGGGAACCTGCAGAAGGGACGGGCTGGCAGGGGTGGCCAGGCCAGGCCTTGACGAAGCCCAGGATTTAGGGCCAAGTTCATTGGGACCTCTGAGCTTCTTTGCCATCCTCTTTCAACAAATAATTACTGAGTGCCTACTATGTGCTGTTCTGGCCTGAGCACGTGAGAAGTGTCTGTCTTCTTAATGAGACCAGCTCAGGTAAGGGCCAGGGAAGGTCAGAGACTAAAAACCCGCAGAGCTGGACGGGGAAGGACAGAGGCAGGCAGACCGGTACTTTCTTGCCGATTCCCAAAGCCCCACTCGGGGCCCTCAGTCCCCACTCTTCTCTCATCCCTCAAGGGTCCCTTAGCCATATCTCAAAACCCTGTCCTCGCGTGGTTCCCCGGGCCTCGCCCCACCCACCTTGGCGCACCTGACTCCGCCCCGCCCAATTCGACCCAGGTGTCGACCCCATCCCCACCCAATCATCAGCAGGCAGGCCTCTGGCTCCACCCACCGTCCCTGCCCCCGCCCCGCCAGCCCCGCCGGCCCCGCCCACCTGCTTTCACCAGATGCTGGGAACTGGGAAAGCGCTTGTAGACTGCGGCGCTGACGCTGCGCAGGATCAGTACGCTGCCCAGGTTGGCGTAGCGGATGAGCGTGCGCCGCAGCAGCCGGCCTTGCTCGTCCTTGCCCTCCACCAAGCCCGACACCAGGTTCATAAGGCGATCGGGCCATGGCAGGTTCTCGTACTGGTTCCACCAGCGGGTCACGACCAGCGTCACGTAGAAGCCTGGGCAGGAGAAGGGGGAGGGGGGCGAGGCGAGGGCCCAGGCTGCGGCCAGAGCCAAACAAGGGCGACGCCTGGTTTCTCCATCTTTGTGATGGGAGCGGGGCCCAGCCCCAACCCTCCTGGAAGGCACTCAGCAGGGGAAGACCATGGCCGCAGAAAGGCGCAAGAGCCCCAAGCTCTTGCTCCCAGAGGCCCCCCGCTTAACCCAGAAATCTGCCAGACCCCTCCCCTCCTGCGCACAGGCTCCAGGGACCCTGTCAGGGCTGCCCTCAGAAACTGGGGTCTTGAGTGCCAACAGCAGGACGTCCTTCCTAATGTCTAACTTCATTCCGTCTGGGGGCAGTCCCCCCATTTCTCTGAACTGCCAAGAGGCACTGACATTCCAGTGGCCTTCACCAGCTGGTTCCTCGTAGTCCCCCGTCTGGAGCCTGGAGCAGCCCCTGGGACCCCGACGTTCAGAAGGGGGAGCTCACCCAGCACGAAGGAAATGGGGATGAGCTGGATGTAGCTGTCGCAATACAGAGTCAGTTTCTCAAACATCACCTGCTGTTCCTCCGTGAGGGCCATCCTGGGGGGGAGGGGGATGTGTAGACATGGCTGAGACAGGTACCACGTCCAGCCAGGCCTAGGGTAGGAATGTGACTGCCGCTTTGCTCCCCCACCCTTCCCTGCCCCTTTCACTGGCCCAACCCGTCCTTCTCTGGCAACCCCAAACCCCAAGGGGGCCTCTGCTCCATGGCTGGAAGAGGCCCCCTCAGGAGGTTTTCTGTGAGCTATAGGAAGGAGTTAGTTTCAGGCACCACTGACCCCCTTTTAAAGGATCCCAAGCAGGTTCAAATAGCATTTGGTGTTTAAAAAGCGTATGAGGCGCCTGGGTGGCTCAGTCGGTTGGGCGGCTGACTTCCGTTCGCGTCATGATCTCACAGTCCGTGGGTTCGAGCCCCACATCAGGCTCCGTGCTGACAGCTCAGAGCCTAGAGCCTGCTTCGGGTTCTGTGTCTCCCTCTCTCTCTCTCTGCCCCTCCCCCTCTTGTGTGCGTGTGCGTGCTCTTGCAAAACTAAATAAACATTAAAAAATATTTTTAATAAAAATATGTATGGGGGGGGAGGGTTGAATAGCTGGAGCCCGGAGGACTTTTAGGGCAGTGAAACTACCGTGTATGATACTAAAATGGTGAATACATATCATTGCGCATCTGTCCAAACCCACAGAATGCACAACACCGAGCGTGGACCTTGGTGTAAACTATGAACTTTGGGTGACAATGATGTGACCGTGTGAGTTCATCCATTACAACACATAGGCCACTTTGCCATGGGACGTTGATAGTGGGGGAGGCTGTGTGTGTTCGAGGGAGAATATGGAAACTCTCTACCTTCCGTTCAATTTTGCTATCAACCTAAAACTCTCAGAAATGAACTCTAATTTTTCTTAAAAAAGGATCTTGATGGCCTAGTAACAACCAAAGAAAATCAATGTGCTTTGTTATTGGCATTGTAATTACGAATCCAAGAACTTTCCCTACGTAAGAGCCCTTCAATCCATTTCGGTCATAAGTGCTTTTTTCCACTCAAAATGCTTTCGTATGTTCTGTGATTGTATCTGTCCTATATTTCATTGTTTAAATAAACATGTTTATTGGAGGGGGGAAAAAGTATGGTCTGGGATTGAGCTTGTGTGGGACTCAGGAAAACAGGCTGGCTGAGTGGGACCAGGTAAGGCCTGGGTTCCCGGGCCTGTCCCTGAGTTGGGAGAAAGATACTCCTGGCCTGCCGTGAGCTGCCCTCCCAGTCTGACTCCTTTTATGTCCTCCCAACCCCCAGCCCCCAGCCCCCAGCCCCCAGCCCCCAGGGCTTGGCTAGGAGCTCAGGTCAGCCTTATAGGACTCTGGTCCTGTAAGAGCGTCCCCCTAGTTGTTCCAAGCCCCAGCTGCGCCCCTCCCAGGCCCCACCCCAGCCTGTCCCCCTGCACCTGTAGATGAAACGGATGATATAGTAGCTGAGCAAGAAGATGAGGAACTCGCCATAGATCAGCTTGTAGATGCTGCCGCGCCAACACAGGAGCAGGCGGGAGAAGGAGCCTAAGCGGGCATTAGCCACTTGGCTTGAGTAGGTGACAGTCATGACTGAGCACGGGGGGGCACGCTAGTAGACAGACAGGGGAGGGACACCGATGAGGGCCTGGCAGGGAGCAGGGGTCTTGGTCAGAGCTTGTCTGGGCGTCATGAGTGATCTTAGCCAGGACTCCTCCCTGCTCTGGGCCTCAGCTTTCCTGTCTGGACACTGGGAGGGGGATGAGGCGGCCTCAGAGGCCCTTTTGGCTCTTCTTGACTGTGGGACATGGGAAGCCAGGGAAGTGAGCCCAGAGCTGCCCACAGCCTTGGCAGAGAAGACACAGATAGGTCTGTGCCCTTAAGTTGTCTGACAGAGGTAATGGCAACAGCAATAGCCAAGTCCACACATTGGGCTTGGTCCCCCGAGCCCATCTTGTTCACTAGCTCCCCAAGCACCCTCAGCCACTTTGGACCAAGACTGGTGAGGGGCCTCGTCGGTCTTGTCCACTTCCCTGTCCCCACTGCCCAGAACAGAGTCTGGCTGGTAGAGATGCTCAAATAATGTTTACTGATCAGTGACCCCAGGGCCTTTCCACTTGCTAATCCTTGTGCCTGGAGGATGCTCTTCCTAATCTGTGTGGCTCATTCCCACTTCGGGTCGTCTGCCCAGAAAGGATGCCGCCAACTACTCTACCTGGAGATAGCCTCCCAGTGCCACTGATTCTCTGTCCCCTCATCTTATTGATTTGTCTCCATAGCATTTCTCTTGTTATACTTGAATTGGATGTCTGCCTATTCCCACCTTAGAATGGAAGCTCCCACTGTGTTCTCATAGCAGGTGCTCAGGACAAACTTCCCGAAGCAATGGCTGCCACCTGCCCTCCCCCTACTCGCTCTGATGCAGCTGGGGTGGCTGTCTTTGTGCCTTGTGCACACCAAACTCATTCCCACCTCAGAGACTTTGCACACACACACACACACACACACACACACACACACACGCGCGCCCCCCCGCGCCCCCCCCCCCCACGCGCACACGTGCTGCCCATGTGTCCGCATCACCCGCACTGTTGCAAGGACAGCCATCTACCCCAGGGGCCCTCAAAGCCCCGGCTCCCCCTGCCTGGGCCAACCGCTACTCACAGGAGGAGCTCCAGTCCTCTCAGGGAATCCCACGACATTTCTGGCCACTGGACCGATGGGACTCTTGAGGGTCCTGCAGCCAGTGACCCTGCCCACGCTTCAGGACCAGCCCTGCCCATGCGTGTGTTAGGCGGTCACTTGACTGCCTAATCCAGGGCCTCCACAAAGGAGCCCTTGTTTTGGCCCCTCCTCATAATCTGCACATTAGCAGCCGGCACAGCCTGGCCAGGGCCCCTCTAATTCCTTCCTGGGGGCTGTGGGGGCTGAGACCAGGGCTAGAATTTGGGGCAACTCCCTTCCACCATGGGCCCAATCCCGCCATTTTCTCTGGCCCCTCAAATCCAGAGACTGAAGGATCTGTTTCTGACGGCTGAGGTCTTGCAGGGAGAGCTGTGGGGAGTGGGGCCGGGGCCCTGGTCCTCATCTCCGGTGCCAAGAGCTACACGAGAGAGGGAGCCCCGGCCCAGGCCCTTCGGGGTTTGGGCAGCACGGAGGGCAGTGGAAAGAACACTGGACCATGGTCAGAAGTCCTGGCTTCCAGTCCTGGCTCTGCCACCCGTGTGGCTGACCCCAGTGGGCCTCTGCGTCTCCCTAGGCCTCAGTGTCCCTATCCAAAAAGGATGGCCTCGCTTTAGGCCTCATCACCTTTTTAAGAGTGACATTGGTCTTCCTATGCTGGTGAGGAGCTCTGATTGGCTGATGGTGACATCATAGGTTTTTCGGGCTGTGATTGGCTGGCAGAATCCAGTTAGTGGGTTGGCTCATAGCTACGGAAGAAGGCGGGGGTAGGAAGGAGGCTGCTGTGTGGGGGCTGGGCCTGGTGAAGGATGACGCAGCAGCCTCGGTGTTTTTGTTGCTGGCTTTTAGCCAGCCCACGCAAAATGGGGGCATGTACCCAGGTCCCCAAGGGCAGCTGGTTAACGTCTCAGCACCTGCTTCCAAACAGTTTAATACATCAGTCTATACGCAAGGGCCCTAAGCCCCTGGAAGTGATGGCTGTCCAGGACAGGCTCCTCCTGTGAAAGCTGGAAGCCCCAGGGGCTTCTGGTCTTCAGCGAGTGGCCATAGGAAGGGTCTGGAATGTATCCGAAACATGCAGATTCTCGGGATCTTGCTCCAGAGTCCGATTCTGCGACCGGGTTGGGGGTCGCGGGGGAGGGGCGGGCTGCATTTCTAACGAGCGCTGCTGGCCCGCGTCTGAAGATCAAAGCCCTGATTTACAAAATGACCTCGAGCCTTAAAATCAATCCACGCCTTCCCTCCCTCCCCCCTCTCCTCCCTCCATCCCTTTCTCCCTCGTCTCTCTTTCCCTCTCTCTGACATCCTCCTAAGTGTTCACAATGCTGAGATTGCAGGTGACTTTTGTGCGCACCACTTTCGCCTTTGTAATTCCCCGCCTGCGGGGAAAACTTACCGTTTCACAACCACCTTGCGTATTTTTCTAATCACAGCAAACAACAAGGCCATTGCAGTTAGGAGGGGGGGGGGGGTCCTCTTCGAGGACGATTTGCTACATGCTGCCTGTGCAGTGGGAGACATCTTTCCCATCGCTGTCCTTCCCTTGAGCCTCAGCGTCCTCGTCTGGAAAATGGGACAATAGCACTACCTCAGCGATGAGAACGATGGGTGATGATTCAGTCAAACCAGTGGTTCTCGTGCCCGGCTGCCGGCCCCTGGTGCGTCCGCCCCCACCCCTGCAGATTCGGTTGGGTGGACGGGCCCCAGACCCTCACGTTTTCTCAAGTTCCTCAGGCAAGGCCAATGGACAACGTGGGTTGAGAATCACTGCTGGAAGGGTTAATTCCCTACTTTGCATTCCGTCTCCCCCCACCCAGAAATATCTACACTCCAGGGAGAGCTCTCCACTTAGCAGATGCCCAATGTATTTTTAGTTAGAACTGAAACATGTGCCTAGCACCCGTCTGGCGCGGGCATGCTCACTTAACGTTAGCTGAAGGAGTGAATGAAACACCTCCCTTTTTGCGCGCTCAGGTTCCTGCCTCCCCTATAATGACCACTGGAGGGCGCCCCTGACTCGCTGGCTCCGGCCACGGAAGCCCTGTTGGCTGATGAGCGGTCGGTCTGTAGGGACCCTGGAGCTGGCCCTGGAGGCTCCTTCTTCTCCTTCACCCTGACCAGCAGCTGTAGAGCCATGAAAGAGAGTCGGAAGACACCGTGGCAACCGGAGCTCTCTCTCTCCCCTGAACTTCAGGTTCCTTGCCGATATCCCAAAAGTCCTACCAGGACCAGCGGACGGTGCTGTGCCCCCCCTCCTTCCCCTCCCAGATGCCCCAGGATATCCACAGACACACCCGGTGAGAAGCTGCTCCTGGCCCCAGCCCAGTGCTAAGACAGGTAGACCCTAGGCATAAGTCGGGGTCTTTTCCAGTGGCTCCCAGCCATGAAAATGTCCCCAAGCCTGCATCTCAGGCACACAGAGAGGCTACAGCAAGCACTGATCGACCCACGCTGTGCTTCGACAAAGGGCCCCAGGATTGACCCCTGCAAGGATGGAGTCCACCCCAGTCAGGGTCATCCTGTTCTGTTTTCTGTTCCACAAAGTAGTCCTCCAACAAACCATTTCTGATGCCGGAAGTAAGCCTCATCCGATTCCTCCTGCGTCCAAAAATTCGTAGTCAAATAAAAACGAAGGAAACTCTTCAATAACTTTAACACAAAATGGCAAGTCCTCGTATCTGTGTCAGGGACACAGAGGTCAGGGAAACTGTTACACGGAAGGGATCATTTCAGCCGGGTCCTGAGGCACGGGTAGGAGTTCGCCCGAGCTGAGAAGGACGGAGGGGTATTACATATAAGGGAAAGTCCATGCAAAGTCTCAGAGGCATTTCTGAGGGACAGTTCGGTAGGGTATTATTATCTACATTTTACAGAGGAGGACCCTGAAGCTCAAGGCCTGTTGTGTCCAGGGCCACACAGCTATAAAAGGCTAGGCTGGGGCTGAAATCTGGGTCTTTTCATTTTGAATCCTGTGGCTTTTTCATGACCCGCCATCACCCCTCTAGTGGATGTCAGTTTCGGGGGTGGGGGTGGGGCCAGAGGCTTACTCTTAGGGTAGTGGTCTCTGTTGGGGTTAAAGGGAGGTCCAGGGGGTTAGGAGACGCACAGGAGAGACGCTGACCGCAGCTGACCGCTGGTGGAGAGCCATCTCCGGAGGCAGACAAAGCAGAGCTGGGAAGATGGGGGGAGGTTCTGGGGACAGAATGCTATGGTGTTTTCATCTAGAATCACCATGGCAACAGGAGCTTCACAGAGGGCCTGCCACTGTGCCCTTCCAGGCCTGCCCCAGCTGGGCAGGAAGCAGAGGACCCAGCTTGGCTGGGGGGCAGTGGGCAGGAGGCCCTGGGGTGGCCCAACCAGCCCTGGATGCTGCCTCCCGGCTCTGTGTAGAGTACTTGCCGGCCCACACCCCTCTCTTGGGCCAATCACAGAAAGAACAGGGCAGAAGCCAAGAGAGAAAAAGGAGGGGGCTGGGCATATCTGGTCAGAGGAGGGGAGGGACCCTACCAGCCTGGGGCCTGTAAGTAATACAGATAACAACATCTCTACACTGGGGCCAGCAGCCCCGATCCCTGAAGGGCTGGGTAGACTCAACATCCCAAGAGACAAACACATGAGCTCCGGGTCCTGTAGAAAGACAACGGGGACGGGGAGAGGCTGGGACACGCTGGGACACGCCGGGCCCAGCTTCACCAAGCCCAGTCCTGCCAATGACAATGGAATAGCATCGAGTGGTCTGGAGCCAGCCCAGCCGGATACGAAAGGCAAGAGGATTCACCACAGCCTCGAGGAGAACGCTGGGATCTCCGAGCGGCCCTGTCCCCATGGACTCTGCCCCACTGAGGCCAGCCAGGTGAGGCGCAGACCCCGTCCACAACCCCCTTCCCCACCAGCTTAGAGCTGGGGCTAATGGGCAGGTGAGGAGGTGGGGGAGAACCCCAGGCCAGCCTTCTCCCGAAGAACCCCACGGGGTTTAAGAAGACCTGGGTGCCGTCACACCTTCACTACATGCGAGTCAGTAGCCTCAGGCTTCCTGATCTGTGGAATGGGCACATTAACGGCTGTGAGAGAACACAGATGGCTGCTCATCCACCCGCTTACTTGGTGGATAAAGACACCGAAGCGTAGAGAAAGGAATGGACTTACCTCAAGTCACAAAGAATTAGAGGCAGAGCTGGGAGGGTGTGAGGAGGCCACCTGTCCAGGTCAGAGCAGTGCGTCCCTTCACTGTTCCGGGACGTTCCTGCTGTTCAGCTCCCACGGGTGCGTGCTGAATGTCAGCTGTGCTTAGCCACGGGCTGGGCATTGTGGGAGGGGAAGAGAAGAAGCTATGGTTTCCCCGATATCTTGAGCGTTTACTGGGTGCCAGGCAGTGCACGGAGCGCTATTTCGAAATGGTTTCATCTCATCATCAGAACTGGGGAACAGGAAGTGTTATCCACCTGTTACAGGTAGGTGTCAAGGCCCAGAGAGAAGCGAAGTACCTCGTCCGAGCCTCCACTCACGCCCGAGTCTCAAGGCCGTTGCAGACTGCCTCCTGGCCCTCGGTTACGGACCCCGGGTTGGTCGGCGGGTCAGGCTGCCTGGCAGCGGTGTCCTGGAGGGGACTCCTCTGCTCTGTGGGCGGCTGGACCAGGCGGCCAGATCAGGTGGGAGTCTGTGTGCCAGTTTCCAGGGCAGTCTTCTCCAGGAGGGGGCCAGGTGGGTGAAACAGACCCAAGGGCAGCGGGGAGGATGGCAGACGGGCGGGCCAGCTGAGGAGTAAGCCGTGTTGGTGGCTATCTGTTAGGTGGACGGGACCACCCAGCAAGCCGCCTTGAGTGGCCTTGAAGTGTCTCAGCCCCAGGTTGCCCGGACAACCACAGCTTCAACCCTTCTTCTCCACCGCAGCCTGGGGTTTCAGAGTTAGCAAATAAAAACAGAGGGCAGTCAGTTACATCTGAATTTCGGATAAACGTCAGTGGGTCCTACACTGCATAGGCCCCGGTGGGGGGGTGGGGGGGAGGGCATCCAGAAGCAAGAGTCTCCTCTGTGTGGGCATCTCCGCTGCGGTGCACCTGCTTCATCCGCTGCTTGGGCTGCTGATTTCAGGAGCCTGGCTGCTCCAGGGGAGGTCGGGGGAAGCTTGCTGGGAATGCAGACTCTCAGGTCCCACCCTAGCGCGCTCGATCAGAATCTGCACTTTAACAAGATCCCCCGGGAGGTCTGTGTGCACCTGACAGTTGGACAGCCTTGTTTCACACAGCAACGGGAGCGATTCAAGTTTATTCTGGCACCGCATGTTTATTGTAGGCAGCTAGGAAAATGCAGCGCGGTGAAGAAAAGCCAACATCGCCGAAGATTATCATTTTTGATGTATTTCCTTCCTGTCTTTTAACATCGAGGTAAAATGCACATAAAGTCACGATTTTAACCGTTTTCCATGTACAATTAGCTCAGTGGCTTTTACTTCATCCAACCATCGGCACTAATTCTAGAACATTTTCGTCACCCGGATGGAAACTCGGTACCTATTACGCAGTCACTCCCCGTTCACCCCTTTCCCCCATCCCTGGTAACCATCAATCTACTTCTGTCTCGATGGCTTTGCCTTTTCTTGACATTTCATATAAATGGAATCAAAGAACGTTTGTCCTTTTATGTCTGGCTTCTTTCCCTTCGCCTAATGTTTTCAAGGTTCAGCCACATTATAGCACATGTTGGTGCTTTATTCCTTTCTGGGTTGAATAATATTCCACCGTATGGATATACCCCAGTTTGTTTATTCCTTCCTTGGTTGATGGACATCTGGATTGTTTCCATTTTTTTTTTTTTTTATCTACTATGTATATTTATAGACATGTTTTTCTTTAAACGTTCAGTTCTTTGGGGTATATACCTAGGAGTGAAATTGTTGGATCACATGGTAATTCTCTGGCTAACTTCTCAAGGAGCTGCCTGTTTTCCACAGTGGCTGTACTATTCTACATTCTTACCAGCACTGCCTGACAGATTCCTGTTTCTCCATCTTGTTATTTTCCTTAAAAACAAAAAACAAAACAAAACAAAACCAAAAACAAAACCATGCTCTCTTAGTGGCGTCTCCTTGTGGTTTTGACTTGCATTTCCCTCATGACAAATGATGTTGAACCTCTCATGTGCCTATCGGTTATTTGCACGTCTTCATTGGAGAAATGTCTATCCAAGTCCTTTGCCCATCTTTTAATTGGATTGTATTCCTATTGTTTGAGTTATAAGAGTTCTTTGTATATTCTGGATGCTAGACTCTTACAAGATATATATGATTCACAACTATTTTTCCCTATTCTTTGGTTTGTTTTTTCACCTTCTTGAGAATGTTCTTTGATGCACAAAAGGTTTTTGTTTGTTTGTTTGTTTTTAGGGGTGCCTGGGTGGCTCAATTGGTTAAGCGTCCCACTTCAGCTCAGGTTATGATCTCACAGTTCATGAGTTTGAGCCCCACGTCGGGCTCTGTGCTGATAGCTCAGAGCCTGGAGCCTGCTTCAGATTCTGTGTCTCCCTCTCTCTCTGCCCTTTCTCCACTCACGTCTGTCTCTGTTTCTCAAAAATAAACATTAAAAACATTTTTTTAAGTTTTTTTTGTTTTTTTTTTTACAAAGTTCAGTTCATTTTTTCTTTTGTTCTTTGTTCTTTTGGTGTCATATCTAAGAAATCGTTACCAAATCCAAGGTCATAAAAATTTACTGTTAAGTTTTCTAATGGTTCTGTAGCTCCAGGTCTTACACGTAGGTCTTTGACATATTTTGAGTTAATTTTTGCATGTGGTGAGAGGTAGGGGTGCAACTTCATTCTTTTTCCTTGTCTTTTTCTTTCTCTTTCTCTTTTTCTTTTTCTTTTTCTTTTCTTTTCTTTTTCTTTTTCTTTTTCTTTTCTTTTCTTTCTTTCTTTCTTTTTTTTTTTTTCGAGAGAGGGAGAGAGAGAGTGCAAGCCAGGGAGGGGAAAAAAAGAGAGGTAGACAGTGGATCTGAAGCAGGCTCTGTGCTGACGGCAACAGCTTGATGTGGGGTTCAAACCCACAAACCATGAGATCATGACCTGAATTGAAGTCAGACGCTTAACCTACTGAGCCTCCCAGGTGCCCTGTCTTTTTTTTCTTTTTAAGTAATCTCTACACCCAACGTGGGGCTCGAACTCAGACCCTGAGATCAAGAGTCACATGCTCCACCAACTGAGCCATCCAGGTCCCCCCCACTGACTCTTTTCTTTTGCATGCAGATATCCAGTTGTCCAAGCACTATTATTTGAAAAGATTATTCTTTCCCCACTGAATGGTCTTGCCACTCTTGTTGAAAATCACTTGTCAATAGATGTGTGGGTTTACTTCTGGACTCCTGATTTTATTCCATTTGTCTATATATCTTTATGCCAGTACCACACTGTTTTGGTTGTGTAGCTTTGTAGAAGTTTTGAAATTGGGAAGTGTGAGTTCTCCAATTTTGTTTTTCCATTTCAAGATTGTTTGGGCCATGTAGGATCCCTTAAAATTCCATATGAATTTGAGGATCAACTTGCTCATTTCTGCAAAAAAGACAGTTGGAATTTTGATGGAGATTGCATTGAGTCTGTAGATCACTTTGCTTTCTTTACAATGTTGTTTCTTTACAGTCCATGAACATAGGATGTCTTTTCATTTACTTAGATCTGTTTAAATTTCTTTCAACAATGTTTTGTAGTTTTCAGTGTACAAGTCTTGTACTCCTTTGTTAATCTTATTCCTAAATATTTTATTATTTTTTATAATATTATAAATGAAGTTTTCTTTTTTTTAATGTTTATTTTTGGGAGAGAGAGAGAGAGAGAGACAGAGAGAGACAGAGAGAGAGGGAGATACAGAATCCTAAGCAGGCTCCAGGCTCTGAGCTGTCAGCACAGAGCCTGATGCAGGGGTCTCAAACTCACAAACCGTGAGATCATGAACTGAGCTGAAGTCAGACGCCTAACCGATTGAGCCACCCAGGCACCCCAGTGAAGTTGTTTTTCTAAATTTCTTTTCCAGATTGTTCATTGCTAGTATATAGAAATACAACTGATTTTTGCATATTGATCTGATATTCTGCAACTTTGCTGAATTCATTTATTAGCTATGATAGTGTCTGTGTGGATTCTTTAGGATTTTCTACGTATAAGATTACACCATCTACAAATAGAGACAGTTTTACTACTTCTCT